GTGGTCACTTTGAATGGCCACTAAATGAATCATAGTAAGTTGAGGTCTACCTGTACTTGAGGTTAAGAACTTTGGCATGAAAAACCGGGCAAGAGAAATGTTCTCAGCAGAATTTCCCACCTCAAAACCAAGAACTGTGGAAGAAAAGTTGCATTTAAAAAAAAAAAAAATCGTTTGTGATTAAAATACTAAAATAAAATGGTAATTGTCACTGGAAGTGAAGGCCATCTACCAAAGTGGCTTGAAAAGCAAGTTTAGGAAGATGTCTTCCACCATTCGTTCCAATAATAATAATAATAATAATAATAATAATAATAATAATAATAATAATAAGAAGAAGAAGAAGAAGAAGAAGAAGAAGAAGAAGAAGAAGAAGAAGAAGAAGAAGAAGAAGAAGAAGCAGCAGCCTTGGTGGCGCAGCAGACTATAATAATAAGAGCCTTGGTGGTGCAGCAGACTAAAGTGCTATTAAAGTAATACCAGCTGCCTGCAATTACTGCAAGTTCAAATCTCACCAGGCTCCAGGTTGACTCAGCCTTCCATCCTTTCGAGGTAGGTAAAATGAGGACCCGGATTGTGGGGGCAATAAAGCTGACTTTGTATAAAAAAGAACACTGCTGGGGGGGGCGCGAAAGCCCTACTAAACAAGTATATACAAAAGTATGAAGGCTATTGCTTAACGCATTGTAAGCCGCCCTGAGTCTCCGGAGAAGGGCGGCATATAAATCGAACCAAATAAATAAATAAATAAATAACCCACCAACAAAATAAAACTAGAATTCAAGCATTCTACTCTGTTTAGTGAATTCTCTTCCTCTTTAATCAGCTTTGTCACTACAAGGTTACAATTTTCTTTTTTAAATATCTCACAGATGTGATTAGATAATACATTCATTTCTCATCCATGGCTATCATCTTGAAGATAACAAAAACTACATTGTGCTTTTTTCCAGAAAGAAACTTCTCTTTCGATTTATATAAATTTCTGAACAAAAAACAAAAATAGAAGTTAGAATACAGTATACACTGTTTCAAAAGAAAAGTTTATCAACTGGGACTTTATACTACATGGAAACTCTTTAGTAACTCAATATTGCCCATACATTGTTTGTTGGATTACAATCCTTTAGCAAAATAAAATTCAGTATCTATCAGTAATTATTACATTCGATCAAAGGAGTTTTTTTTTTCCCCCGGGAAGTTTGCAGAGAACGTAGCTTTGACATTCCGACTTCTTCATTTTACCCCTTTAACAAAGACATGATTTAAACAAGTGACACAGGGGAGCGAAGAAAAAAAAAAGTATCCATTTTAAATGCATGAGCTATAAATCAAATTACCTTCAGCTCTGTCCTAGCTTAATGTTCTTCCTCCAACTGTCACTTTTTCTTAAAATCAATTTCAGACGTGGAGTATTGCTCCGTTCTTCTAATTGATAGCAACACCCAGTCATGATAAGCATAACATGAAATAGTTTCCATAATGAAACTCAATAGAGGGTTGAAATAGGACAGTGATTAAAAAGCACAATTCCTTTGGCTTCCGTGATGGAAATTTCTGCTCCTGAACTCTGCATATAAATCCTCCTGTTCCAAAAAAGATGGCCAAGATATTTTTATTTCCTCTGAGCCAAAGACAAAAAGGTATCTCCTGAATTTCTGTACCGAAGCCAGTAATGTCTACTTAAAAGGCAACAATGGGATGGAGTTCAGTCTCCAGGGCTGATGGCAAAGCCATCAGAGATGCCTTCTAAGAAAAGGAAACAGTGAAGATAGTCAGGTACACCTTGGTTTTTTTACAATGATGGGCTAGCAAAACACCTACAGTTGCGACCAAAATTGTGGAAACCTTTTGGAGAAAGTGTATTTTTGAGGTCTGATGGCTAATAACATCACTTTTTGAGAGGAGTTTCAAGATAATCCTATTCCACTGCTGGAACAGCCTGGGAATAGCCCAAACCTTAACCCAATTGAAAATCTATCGAGCCGACTTAAGAAACTTGTTAGTCAGAAGCGACCAAGCAATAAAACCCAGTTAATAGAAGTAATCATTCAATCTTGGTTTCACATTAGAACAGCTGCAGAACTCAAAGACTTGGTTCATTCCATGGGAAGACAATGTAAGGCCGTCATTCATGCTAAAGGTTACCCAACTAAGTATTAACTGACATGGTGATCATTTTTGTATATCTCATTTCTTCTATGGTGATCATTTTTGTACATTTCATTTTTTCTACGTGTTTCCCTTTTCTTCTTTATACTGCCACTGCTATTCTAATAGCAAATCCTTCCTAAAAGTGATTGCACTACATTCTGGATTAAATTATCTTTCCATTGATATATAATTTTATGGTACGACTCCCCAAAAATAAATGGAGCGTTATTCGCTAGTTTTAGAAAATATACTTTTCCCAAAAGGTTTCCACAAGTTTGGCCGCTACTGTATAAGAGTGAAAGTCAAACTGGGTTGAGATCAGCAATCCAAAAATGTTGCAAGACTGGAAGAAATTAAAAAGGAAATAGATCACTTTCACTGAAGGAGGACATTCTAGGGGAAGTTTGCCTTCATAGGAACATAATCATCTAGTGCTACAGGTAACTGCTTCTCATAGGACTGAACTTATTGCCTCTTTGACCCTGTGATTCTCCAAGCTCAAAATGCATGAGATCAAGGCAATGGCCTTCAAACCTTGAGGGATCCTACTGGACAAGCCCTGTTGCCTGTTAGTTACACAGGAATAAGGCAGAAGGGACTGGAAGGCTGCAGAAGAGATGCTTCCAATCCAAACTCGACCCCCAGGCATGTTTACTCAAAAATAACTCTCTTTGCTGTTGCCAAAAAGAACTTTGCTCCCTAGCAAGCGTGGAAAATCAAACCAGGAAGGAAAATAGTAATCACAAGGGTTTAAAAAGAGAGAGAAGGAGACTCTTGTAATGTGCCAGGAGTTCTTCTCGTCAACTGTGTTAGGAACAAGATAACCATTTTCCTCCCATTTAAGTTTTGAACAGGAAAAAAAAAAAATCAGCCCGTTGTCACTTTTGATACACTCCCCTGTGGTTCTGTGGAGAATATTAAAAGAGCAACGGACAAAATGAGTGACATGGCCAATGCATTCAACGGCCATTCGCTTAGAGCTCTCCCTGCATAGTATTTTGATAGAAACATCAGCCTGTTTGCTTGTCTGCTCCATACAAAGAAAGACAAATTACACACACATAGATCAGGAGAGTTACACAGTGTGCACTACAGTCTACGTTGCAGGACATGGATCCAGTCTAGGAACGGTTAAGGATTCTCAACGGGGGATCCCTTCAGATTTCAGGGAGCATATTTTTAACAGGTTTCCCTGAACGCAGTTCAAAGTAGCCATTCAAACTCATTTAAAATCTGCTCTATTTCATTGTTCCTTTTTCTCCTTCTTCTTCTTGCATGTTGGGAAGCTGCCTTCTAAAACCCATTTCTTTCCTGTAAAATCGGAAGCACTAGCTTCCATTCCAAATATATAAGGCCTTCTGTGTTTGGATTTATGTGTGATATCCCATTCCTTTTTTTTTTTTTTAAATCAAGTGAATTATACTTTACCCCCCCTTCTCCCTGTTAGGAAATAAATAAATAATGCATTTCTCTGCCTGCAACATTTCTCCTTGCTCTACAGAATAAATCTTTAAAGCTCGGTCTATTTTCATTTCTCTTCCATTTTAGTCCAAATGCTAGGTGTGGGCTTCTCTCTTTCTCCCTCCCTCTCTCTCCCTCTCTCTCTCTCTCTCCCTCTCTCTCTCCCTCTCTCCCTCTCTCCCTCTCTCTCTCTCTCTCTCTCTCTCTCTCTCTCTCGGATTTTCCAATGCTTGGCTGGACTAAATCATGGCATGGCACAGTCTTCCAGCATCGGTTGCAAGTCAAGCATGGAATTTTTCAGCATGATTGCAGAATAAGCAAACAAACCATTTAAGCGGTAGTTTAGACTATTTTTTTGTATTTTTTTTTTGTTTGGTTTTTTTTTGCCTCACTGGATTACTGTTCCACTGGAAGACTGGAGAATTTGATCACTGGCAGCTGCAAGGTGAGCGAGAGGCTCCATTGAAAAGCACTGCATCTAAGATAACAGCAGCTGACATTAAAATTGTTTTTGAAGGGTTTTGAAGCTTGTGCTTAAGCTATTTACTCAAGCAAGTCACACTTGCTCAAGTTGCTGTTTGCAAACGGGTGACAACCGTCTAGGCATGTGTAAATCTAACTGCCCAGTCTCAATATCATTTTGCTAATAGGCGCAGAGGCTTTTAAGCCTTTTCTGCAGAAATCCAGGGTTTTAATTCGGGATGGAGCCTGCTTTTTACACCATACCAAGTAAACCGAACACAGCTTTTTGATGGGTGAGGGACATGGGCTTGGACTGCCCCCGTGATAAAAAAACAGAGATCGGTTTGTCCCAGGAGATATCTATTTTATGTTCAGCCAAGGGGAAAATAAATCAACAACTTATGATCTGAGGGATGTGATTGAACTGGATGGAAATATCAAAATATACAGATTGGTTCAGCATAAGGTGCACAAAAGAAGCACTTTCAAATATTATAAACCATGTTTGTACCCTAACTTACTGTCCCCCACCTCCACTTTGGAACAAATCATGGTCTTTCTACTTTCTACTAGACACAAGATAGACAAACCTGATCCACGTTCAAACCCCAAAGGCAAGACTGGGATCGACTAGATCCTACAGACTAGATCTTACAGACCCTCCCTGCCCCAGTTTTGTGAGGTGCTTCAATGCTAAGCTGCCTGCCCTTCTGTTTTCTAGCAAACATTTTTTGACCTTGCTACAAAGAAGGACTACAAAGAGGATTGTGGCCTAATCCTAGTTTAGGACCTCAGAACCGAGTCATCTCTGTCCCTAAACACCTATCCGGTGGCTTTTCTCAGCAGGTGTCACTGCAGATAGAAAACGCAATGTGAGGAGAAGAAGAAGAAGTTGTTCCAGGTTATCTCTCAAAGTCTCCTACCTGAATTATGGACATCCGGCTTGGGGGAACCTCGCTGACGTTAGTCCCTTGTCCTGTGAAGCTGGTGTGGCATCCCACGTGGCCTTGGGGCACGCTCAGGTTGTTGGAAGCCGGTTTCAGGAACATCACCTCCGACCTGGGCGAGCTAAGGGGCAGGCGAGTCTGGTAGTCAAAATAGATGGGCGAGGTGGCCAAGGATGGGCTGCTGACCACGTTCATGACGTTGAGGGGCCCTCGGCTGTCCTCCCCTTCGCTGGGCACCAGCATAATGTCGTTCTTGCTAATCTTCTTCTTCTTGCCCTTGCCCCCTCCGCTGCCCCCTCCCCCGCCCCCACCCCCGCCCCCTCCACCCAACTGAGGGTGGCTGTACTCAGCTATACGACAGTTGTATGTACGGATGTCCTTGTTCTCGCGTTTACACTTCACGGCAATGGTGATCATGGCAGCCAGGAGGATGATGGAAACCGTGCTCAGGGTCACAATCAAGGGCAGCGAGAGGTCCCAGTGAGGCCGGCGGTGCTGCTCCCCATTGACCTGGGGCTCTCCTGATTCAGGCAGAGGTCCAGCCAAGGCCCGGACAATCAGCTTGGCTACTGCAGAAAGGCTGGGCTTTCCATGGTCACTGACCTTCACCACAAGTTCAGCCACAGGACTCAACTCTTCCCAGTAAGGGTGAAGGGTGCGGATCTCTCCACTCATAGGGTCCATCTCGAAGAGGTGCTCCTCATTGCCTTCCACAATCTCATAGGTCAGGCGTCCGCTTTCCCCGAAATCATTATCCATGGCCCGGACGGTGCCTACGGGGTAGCCCACTCCGGCATTGCGGGGGACCTGGAGTTCAGCAGTGTCATTGATCAGGGCCGGCAAGACAATCAGAGGGGCGTTGTCGTTGACATCCAAAACAGTGACCCGGACGGTGGCATTGCTCTCCCGGTGGGGAGAGCCCGAGTCTTTGGCCAACACGTGGAACTCAAAATGTTTGGTCTGCTCGTAATTGAAGCTGCGCAAAGCATAGATGGCCCCGTTGGTTGGGTTGACAGAGACATAGGTGTAAATAGAGACGTCCCCCACGTGTCCCGGCAGAATGGAGTAGGAGACGGTGCCATTTTGGCCCAGATCGGGGTCCTTGGCCAACACAGATCCCAGATACTCTCCCGGGATATTGTTCTCAGGCACTTGCAACACATAAAGGCTCTTGCTAAAACGTGGTGGGTTATCGTTCTCGTCTAAGATCCTAACCGAGAAAGACTTGGTTGAGTTGAGAGGTGGGTTGCCCCCATCCCGAGCCAAGATGGTGACATTGTACTCGTCCTGCACTTCTCTGTCCAGGGGCCTGTCGGTGACCACCGTGTACAGGTTGTCATAGTTCTCCTCTAAAGTAAAGGGCACTGCCCCATCTCCCCCACTGCCATCGCTGCCTTGCACCCGGCACTGCAGCTGCCCGTTCTTGCCGGAGTCTCGGTCTGTGACCCTGACCAGGGCAATGACGGTCCCTGGCGGGGCAGCTTCGCTCAGTGCCCCCTGGCGCACCGAGACAAAGCCAATGGTGGGAGCATTGTCATTACGGTCCAGTAAATGCACTGTGACCTTGCAATGGGCAGGGATGGGGTTGGGACCCAAGTCACGGGCCTGGACATCGATCTCCACCAAGTTGCCTTCCTCGTAGTCCAAGTTGCCTTTGACCCGGATCAATCCCGTCTGGGGATCGATGCTGAACAACTCCCGCACCCGGTCTGGGGTATAACCGCTGAAGGAATAGAGCACCTGGCCGTTGGTGCCTTCATCAGCATCGGTGGCGTTGAGGTCCAGGAGAACCGTGCCCAGAGGGACGTTTTCGGGCAGTTCCACCACATAGGAAGCCGCCTCGAAGACCGGACTGTTGTCGTTGGAATCGATCAAGCGTACGTTGAGCTGGACGGTGCCTGAGCGAGGGGGCTCCCCGCCGTCCAGGGCAGTCAGCACCAAGGTGTGATGGCTCTGCTCCTCGCGATCCAAAGGCTTCTGGACCACCAGCTCGGGGAATTTGGTGCCGTCGCCTCGGGCTTTGACGTCCAGGGCGAAGAGGCCGTAATCGTCGCGGGTGAGCAGGTAAGTGCGCAAGCCGTTCTCGCCCGCGTCGGGATCGTGCGCGCTAGCCAGCGGGAAGCGGGTCCCCGGCGCGGCGTTCTCGGAGATGTCCAGATCGACTTGGTCGGAAGGGAAAGCCGGCGCGTTGTCGTTGAGATCCTGGATCTCCACTTTGATCATGCAGATCTCCTGGTCGTTGGCGAAGACCTCGAGGGAAAGCTGGCACTTGGAGCTCCGGCGGCAGAGAGCCTCCCGGTCCAGGCGCTGCTTGGTGTAAAGCAAGCCGCTCTCCCCGTCCACGTCGAGCAAGTGGGGAGCCGAGTTCTCCAGCACGCGGAAAGTGGCCTTCGAGCCGCGGGGGCGCTCCAGCGAGGGCGATCCGCCGCTCGACCCGGACTGCAGCCGGGCATCGCGGCCGATGTTACCGATCACCGTGCCGGCGCCTTGCTCCTCCGGCACCGAATAGTTCAGGTTCCTTAAAGCCAGGGCTGGAGCCCAGCAGAGGAAAAAGCACCAAGCGGAGAGGGACATCCCAGCGGACGGCGCGGACGAGGCTGCCTCTCGGCCAACGCCGCCGCCGCCGCCGCCGCCGCGTTGGCGCCTCTCCTTTCCAGCCGATCGTCGCGCCCCTCCGCTGAGTCCTCCTCCTCCTCCTCCTCCTCCTCCTCTCGCTCTCCCCCTTCAAGTTCCCGAACCTGTTGCTCGGCACGATCGACTCGGCACCACCATGGACGAAGCTGGCAAAGGGCGGTCGAGACTGCAACCAGCGGCCAGGGAAAGGGGTCTTTTTTTCCCCCCTGTTTCTCGTCTCCTCCTCCTCCTCCTCCTCCTCCTCCTCTTCCTCCTCCTCCGTGCTGCAGTTTCCCCTTGCTCCGTCCAACTTCAGCCAGGCGGAGGGATGAGCAAAACGCTTTAAACCCCTTCCCTTTCTGGAGGCGACCGAAAAGAGCGAAAGATGAGCCGCGTTTTCCCAAATGCAGTAGCTGTTCCTTCCAGGAAAAATAATAATAAAATTCAAACCCTTTGCACGATGCCAAAGATCCTCACGAGAAGCTTCAAAAGAAAAAGAAAAAAGAGAGAGAGAAAAAAACCCAAAAGAGGGAGGGGAGCAGAAGACGGGAGTTTTTCTGCCTGGAAATTGGGGGGGGGGGGGGTGGTCTTTTTAAAAAACAACAACCAAAAACAGCGGCTCCTGGATCCCCAAAACGACTTGGAAACGGGAGCCAAGGGGAATCGCAGAAAGGAAGGATCCGGAGAGGGTGGAAGTCGTAGAACCGCTGGGCCAAATCTTGCCGCTTTTAGATCTCAGGGATGGGAAAAGGGACACCGCCGTTTTTTCCGGCTCCGCAGCGTCTCGGGTGTTGAGTGGTGTGTTTTTTCACCGCGGCCGTTTGCTGCCTTTGGAGATCTAATCGCGCCCGTTTGGCTGCTGCGGTCAGCCGCAGCATCGCCGCTTTTCCCCCACCAGTTCCTTCTCGCCCTGCTCCTCTCGCCGGTTCCCTTCGCTCGCCGGCGCGCTTCGCCTCCTCCGCCGGTTCCGAGGCTCCGCAGAAAGAACCGGAAAGGGCCGGTTTCCCCAAAAGCAAAAAAATAATATTATTATTATATATATATCTATCTATCTATATATATATGTATAAGGTCCAAGTCCCTCCGGATTTGTACTTCCAAAAAAGCCCGCTTTTCTTTCCCAGGTAAAGAGAGAGAGAGAGAGAGAAAGAAAGAAAAAAGAAAAATACGCGAGAATCACATTTCTAGAGGTAAGGTTGGATGGATGGATGGATGGATGGAGCGAGGAAGCGTCTTCCGGAGATCCGAACCCCGCTCCGGCTTTGCAACGGATCGCTGGGCGGAAGGGCGGCGGGAGGAAAAGGAGGGGAGGACGATGGCGATTCAGAAAGGGAGCCCCGTCCGAAGCGGCTGGGGAGGTTCCACCAGCCGCCGCTTCCTCCAAGACCGGTTTTCCTGGTCCTGATGCTGCTGATGCTGATGCTGCTGATGCTGATGCTGGCGCCGCCGTCGCCACCACATCGCTCGCTCGCCCGCCCGGCTCTTCTCCTCTCCTCTCCTCTCCTCTCTTCTCGTTCCTGCCGCCGCTGCTGTTGCTGTTGGCTGCCTCGGCGCGTGTCTGCGAGAGCTTTTGCGCTTTGCGCTCGCTGCGGTTGAATTTCAGTCCCGCTCGCCTCCCCGCGCCCTGCCTTTGCTAGTCAAGAGGAAATCAACAGGCAACTCATGGCTGAGCGCAGAGGTTTAAAAAAAAAAAAGAGGGAGAGAGAGAGAGAGAAGCGCAAGAGAGAGCCAGCCGAGGGTGGGGGCGACAGCGAGGCTACACACACAGAGGCACACAGACACACACACACACACGCGTGCGCCCCGAGCCTCTCCAAAAAAAGAAAGGGAGGGGGGAACGCGTCTTGACTCTCTTCGTTTCCTATGCTTCCCTTCGGCTTAAGCTAAGGCCACTCGGTTTGTCCTCTTCGGGGCGAAGGGGCTCGCTCTTCCACCCGGCTTCCCATCTACTCGGGGTATTTAAAAAAAAAAAAAATCCGAAAAAAGCAAGATGCAAATCCCACCCACCCATCCACCCTACACCGAAAAGCCCAGGAGGGAAGGAGCCCGCTGTATATAAAATGTAAAAGCTGCAAGGTGTTTTTTCCCCCTTTTTCTCTTTCTCTCTCTCTGTGTGTCTCTCTGGCTCGCTTTTATTTTTTTATTTTTTCGAGGTACGTGCCGAGCTGGGGAGAGCCGAGTCTCGCTTTGCAAAAGCAACCTTACGGTGGGGTTGGGGAGGCTGGATTGGAGGGGAGGGGTGGGGTGGGGGGAAGAGGGTTGTGGGGTGGGGGAAGCCTCCTCCCTCTGGATGTAGCGGAGCAGGGGCTGGAAGTCAGGATCCCAGGCAATTGTAGCCAGACCTTCAGGTGTTGCGAGCCGCTGGGGCGAATCAGAGGGAGCTGTCCAAAAAAAAAAAAAGCAGGAGCTTAAAAAAAATAAATAAAAAAAAAAATAGGGGGTGGGTGGAGGAAAACACCCGGAGGGATTTCAAAGCGCCCTCGTGTCGCGCGTGGCACGGGCTGCGGCTTTCCTACCTTAACCTTTGCACGCCCACGCACGGACCAAGATTACAAGCCTCAAGTGAGAAGGGAAGAACGGGGAGGGGGGGGGGGGGCGGTTGTTTCCTTTCTATTTATTATTATTTTTTTAAAAAAAATCAAAATTAAAGAAATAAAAATAAAAAGAGCCAGCTCCGCTTTTACCATCCTTCCCCAACCCAAAGAGATGGGGGGGGAGGGGGGTAGAGATACTACTAATAATTTTTTTTTTAAAAAAAGCCCACCCTCAAAATAAACCCACCCACCCCCTTTTTTCCCCCAAGTCCCCAGCAAGCGGTTGGATTGGAAAGTCTTGGCCGGTCTTTTTTTCTTCTTCTTCTTCTTCTTTTTTTCTCCCTTAGTATTACGTGTGAAACTCCTGACTCGGAAGGCGGGGCACAAACTCAAACCCACCCAGCCAAAACAAGGCAAGCCCAAATATTATCTCTCTCCCCCCCCCCCACCCCATCCCCCTCAATTTCAGCCGGGGGTGAATGGATGGAGCTGAGAGAAGAGTTTCTCTGCTTGCGGATTACTTCATGGGGAGGGGGGGAAAAAGGGGTCCGAGAATCCTGCGCTTTTTTCCCAGCCAGCCGAGGCGTGCGTGGCGCTTGTCCCTTTGGCCTTTTTTTAAAAATTATTATTTATTTTTTTGGGTGGGTGGGTTGTTGTGTTTTAAGAGCCTTGGCAGTACAGTGGTCTAAGGCACCCTGTTATTAAGCTGGTTATTAAGACCAGCTGCCTGCAATTACTGCAGGTTCGAATCTCGCCAAGGCTCAAGGTTGACTCAGCCTTCCATCCTTTCTAAGGTAGGTAAATTGAGGACCCAGTTTGTGGGGGCAATAAGCTGACTTTGTATAAATATACAAAAGGATGAAGGCTATTGCTGAGCACATTGTAAGCCGCCCTGAGTCTTCGGAGAAGGGCGGCATATAAATCAAATTAAAAAAAAAAAGGCAACGGGGAGGGGGGGGTTGAGTCGCTCCACCCAGCCAACCGAAGCAAGCTCCCCGAATCCAGCGCCTTCCAAATCCGGAGAGGGGGAAGCCTGTGGATCCCAGAATCCGAAGCAACAGTTGGGAATGGAGGAAGAAGAAGAGGAGGAGGAGGAGAAGGAGGAGGAGAAGGAAGTGGTGATGGTAGAAGGGGGGGGAAGAAAAGAAAAGGAAGAGGCGACGGCGGCGGTAGCAAAAAAAAGCGCCTCCTTATTCTGCCGCAGTCGCCGGGCGGCCCCCCGCCATCCCACCCGCCACGGAGCCTCTGGCGGACTGACTTCCAGTCACCCCACGCGCGTCGCTTAAACATTGATCCCCACTCGCCGCCGGCCAATCCCGACCCGAGGAAAGGAGCCGGCCTCCTCTAGGAACAGCCAATCCACGGCGGGCGTCTGGAGGAGAAAAAAGGAGGGGCTGCGAGAGGACCCCCTCCCACCTATATTCCCCCCTTCCCCTCCCCTCCTAAGGCTGGAGGAGTGGGTGGGTGGGCGCAAAGCAGAGCTCGGAAAGGAGAGAGAGAGGGGGGGGGGGGAAGAAACTGGGGAGACCCAGCCGGGCAGAAGAAGCCTTCGCCCTTCGCCCAGGTGTTTTTTCTTTCTTTCTTTCTTTCTTTTTTTCCTTCCTTTTTTTTTCCCCCTTTTTTCTCTCGCTTGCTTTGGCCACGAGCATCTTTCCAACGTCGCGTTTGCTCCGCCCTGCAGCCTGGAAACAGGTGGGAAAGCTTGCACGGACCCCCAAGATGCCCGTTCAGACGTTGCGGGCTGCCTGCCTGCCTGCCTGCCTGGTTCCCGAAAGCAAAGCCGGCTGGGGAGAGACAGAGGCTCTGCGCCCTGGTGGGTCCGCGCATCTCCCCTGCGCGTCCTTGGAGCAACCGGGGAGGGCATCTCTTTCTAGTACCTACCCACCCCGCCGGCGAGGCGAGGGTCTCGCCAGCTGGCCCTGCCTGGAGACCCCCCCCACGGCGTGTCTGTATTTATTTATTTAATTTATTTTTATGATTGATTTGATCGGGGGGTTCAGGCCGTCCGTTTCTCCTGCAAAGGTGTGTGTGCGTTGGACAAAGGCCAACCTGAAGAAGGGAAGGAAGATTTGTTCACCGTCTGTGTGAGCTTGTCTCTCTAGCAGAGTGGATGGCTGGAAAGGGAAAGGAGGAAAAAAAAGGAGGAGAAGGAGAAAGCAAGGAATGTGTCCGGGTTCAAATGATAAGGCGAGGGGAGGTCCATCTGCCTTGGGAGATGGGCAAGAGAGTGGAGAGAAGATCTTGGGGGCTCCCCCTTCCTTTTGCGGGAGATCCCCACCCTAAAGGGGCAATCCAGAAGATCTCTGGCTCTGAGAAATTGCTTTTTTTAAAAAAAGAAAAAAAGAAAAAAACAGGAAGCCAAATTCCTGGTCCATGTCTCTATTTTGAGGGAGGGGAGGATGAGGTGTGTGTGTGTGTATGTATATATATATATATATGTTTTCTGAAGTTTTTGCGGGTGTTTGTATGTAGGTCTTTGGTTATTCATTTCATTTTCATTTTCATTTTATTAGATTTCTATACCGCCCTACTCCCGAAGGACTCGGGGCGGTGCACAGCCAAACAATAAAAACACATACAATACAAGATTTAAAAAATAGAATAAAATCAAATTAAATAATTTTGGCCCCGACAAATTTAAAACCCCAAACTTTTAAAACCAATTTAAAATTGAATATATAAATACTAAAAGATATTTAAAATTTTAAAAATCTTTTATAAAAGAGGGGGAAAATTAGGCCAGGCCGGCCTGGTGAAATAGTAAGGTCTTTAAGGTGCGGCGTAAACCTGTCCACACCCCCACTGGCAGTTAAAAGGAAGAAACAGCTGCGATCACACACATTGGTCCTAGAAGCACGAAGCCGAGAACACCAGCCTGAAGATGACGAATGAGACTTCATCGAAACGTTGCCAAGAAACCTCCAATTTTACGCGGGAGAAAACCCGAATAACCAAAGACCTACATATATATATACACACATACACACACATACATACATACACATAAAAGGAAGTAACCTTTGAGGGCCCATCATCCCCCATTGTTCTTCCCTCTTGGGCCTCCAGGCTCTCTGAGTAGGCCTTGAGGCGAGAAGGTGATAATGTAAACCCCTGCCGCAAAGCACAGACTCTCAAAGTCTTGGCCATTATTTGAGATGGGTATGGGACTCAAGCCAGTTTGGTCTAGTGGTCAAGGCACCAGCTGGAAACTAGGAGACAGTGAGTTCTAGTCTTGTTTTAGGCATGAAAGCTGATTGGATGACTTTGGATCAATCCCCCTCCCTCTCAGTCCATCCCGCCTCACAAAGTTGTTGTTGTTGTTATGGGGGGTGGGGAGGAAGCAGAAAGAGTTTTATGTATGTTCCTTGCCTTGAATTATTTATAAAAATAAAGGCAGGATGGAAATAAGTGGGTAGGTGGATAGATAGATAGATAGATAGATAGATAGATAGATAGGAGACAGAGAGATGGATGTAGATGATATATAGATAGATTATTTTTATATTACTATTATTATTATTATTATTATTATTATTATTATTATTATTATTATTAATTTAATTTTTATACCGCCCTTCTCCCGAAGGACTCAGGGCAGTGAACAGTCAGAATAACATACATATAATGTGAAATAAAAACAATGATAGATAGATATATAGATAGATGATAGATAGATAGATAGATAGATAGATAGATAGATAGAAAGAAAGAAAGATAGATAAGAGACAGAGAGATGGATGTAGATGATATATAGATAGATGATAGATAGATGATAGATAAGAGACAGATGGATGTAGATGATATATAGTTAGATAGATAGATAGATAGATAGATAGATAGATAGATAGATAGATAGATAGCCAGGCTGGCTGGCCACTTGCTCTTATATGGCATGGCTTCAAGACTTTGTATTGCCTTTCTCACCTCCTTTGAACATGTTCTTCTGTGTCATAATCCTTTTAGTAATGGGGTGCCCACTATTAAACACAATACTCGAGGTGTGGTCTCTTTCCTGCAGAAGAGAGAAGATTAATGGGGTACTTTCCTTGAGTTACTTATAAACTCGTAAAGATGGAATTCAAAAAACAAAACAAAACAAATGAAATAAATAACATTAGATTTCACACCATTCCTGCAGGGAGGAAAAATTATTAAATTGTTGCCGTGAAAACACAGGGGATCATTAATTCTACATGCTCTATGGCCTGAAAGTCCATTCAAGGACCCCAAAGTTACCTTTTCAGTTCCCGTTTTCCATCAGCTTCTAGAAGGAATCCAGAAACAGGAGCAGGGACTCCATTTGGGGGATGAGGTCTTGTGAAGTGAGGTTTGGGGTGAAGTCTTAGGAAGAGAAGACAGGTAGTTGTGGCCTGTCTGGAGCTGCCACAAAAAAAGAGTTAATCAATGGAACGACTTACCTCCAG